TTAGTAGGAATACAAATAATATTTAATCACTATTCAGAGAAGGGATAGACTCACCCTTAACTATAACTTTACATGATGGAAGAATAATAAATTTAAAAGATAGTCATTTAGAAACAATAGAAGGAAATTTAGCATATCAAAAAATTATGTTTCTGTGTTATCTAAAATATTGTGTATCATTAAAAGATAGAAACTTTAATGAAGTTTAAGGACTACATTTGAAGCTTCATAGAGATGATATCATGCAACCATGTGATCAAATTATGATTATAGAATATAGAACTTTATATATATTTACTAATTCTAATTATGGGAATATTTATTCCAATAAGCCATATATTAAAGTTCATAAAGAATGTAAAGATATTAGTAAAATAGTAGAACCAAATAAACAAGTAAACTTAATTTCAGAAGGATACGAATTTAGCATAACAAAAAAATAAATATGAAATAACATAATTAAATGAAGGAGAATGTTTTAATAATATAATATTTAATGATGAAAAATTAATTAAAAGATCAAAAAATTTTAAAATACCTAATAAAAATCAGTTAGAAGAAATCAACAAAATAAAAGAAGTAAAATTACATAGGAATGCTGGAAATATGAAAATAGAAGGAGAATATTATAATGGAATAGATATATAAATGGACCAAATATATAAATAGATGCATGAGTTAGTGAATGTCATATAGTTTCGATTAGAAATAAAGGATTAGTAACTCATAAAATTAAGTCATATAAGTATGTAAATTTTGATGGAAGGTACATATTACAAATTTAAAAGTTAAAGTACTAATAAAAATAGGATGAATAGATCTTTTAGTACCATGTTACATAGATAAGAGTATGGATATAAACCCCAATATACTTTTAGGAATGAGTTTTCTACATGGATTAGAAGATTATAGTATAAAAAGAGAAGGATTATATATTGTTTATAATGGACAAACTACATTATGTAAAAAGAATTAGATGAATAATCGGATAAGTTTTCCATTAGCTGTGTATATACAAATTACTATTGTAGAAATAAATATAACAACTTGTATTTTAATAGATACAGGAAGTGATATAACAATATTTAAATTTTTTTTAATAAAATCATGAAATAATAATAGTAATATAAAAATAATTGGAGTTACAGGAGAAAGTACTTAAATAATTAATAGTGCTAATAAAGCTAGTATAATTCTTACAAATATGATAAATTAGAATGTTATATATTATTATGAAATGATTTCATAAAACAATTTCAATATTATAAATAAAATAATTATATGGTAATACTACAAACATCTTGTGGACACTTATTAAAAATTCCTAGAGAATTTAAACTTTATAGAGTTCAGCCAGCCCATTGTAGTGATAAATGGGAGAAAAAATCAATCATATATAATGAAATAGAAAATGAAAGAATATTATATAAAAAAATTTCTAAAAACAGAAATAGAAATGAATATAGAAAAAAATTATTGAACAACTAGAAAATGTTTATGGAAAAAATTCATTATTATTTTGAAAACCACATCTCCAAAATTCAAAATAGAATTAACAGAAAATGTTATATTAAGCGTCAGACCAATGATGTATACTATAGAAGATACACAAGAATTTAAAAATCAGATAAAAGAATTGTTAGAACAAAAACTTATTAGAACTTGTAATGGACCTCATAGTAGTCTAGCCTTTATGGTTATGAAATATTCTGAACAAATTAGAAGAAAAGCAAGAATGGTTATAAATTATAAAGAATTAAATAAATATACTAAATTTGATGGATATTTTATACCAAATAAGGAAGTTTTAATAAATCTTGTAAAAGGAAAACAATATTATTCTAAATTTGATTGTAAATCAGGATTTTGAAAAATAAAAATGGAAGAAGATAGTATACAATATACTGAATTTAGCACACTTCAAGGAAAATATGAATGATTAGTTATGTCATTTGGTCTAAAAAATGCACCACAAATATATCAAAAAAAGATGGATAATATATTTAAAAAGTTTAATGAATTTCTAATTGTTTATATATATGATATATTAATATGTTCTAATAGTAAAGAAGAACATAGAAATCATTTAATCCAATTTATCAACGAATGTAAAAAAGAATGAATTGTACTATCTAAAAAGAAATATATAATAGAAAAACAAGAAATAGACTTTCTTGGATTATCAATAGATAAAAGGGAGATAAAATTATAGATTCATATATCTAAAAAGATAGAAAGTTTTTCCGATAAATTAGAATCAAAAGAAAAAATATAAAATTTTTTAGGGTGTTTAAATTATGCAGAAGGATTTATTGAAAATCCTTTTAAGAAAAGATATAAAATCCAAGTTTTACTTAGAAAAATAAATACTAAAAGATGGAATGAAGAACATATAGAAATAGTTAAATTTTTAAAAGAAGAATGCAAAAATTTACCAAAATTAAGATTACCTGATAAAAAAATAATTTGAGTGTTAGTACTGATGCCTCAGATAAATATTGGGCAGCAATATTAAAAATAGATCTAAATGAAATTTGTAGATATTCCGGTAAGACCTTTAATCATGCAGAAATAAATTATTCTACTCATAAGAAATAATTACTAGCAATTATTAGAGAAATAAAAAAGTTATCATTATTTTTATTATCCAAGAAATTTACTGTTAAAACTGATAATTCTCAAGTTGTAGGATTAGTCAGAAATAAACTACCATCAGAACCCCAATACAAAAGATTCCATATATGACAAGCTTATATAGCATTTTATAATTTTGATCTAGTCCATATTAAAGGAGTTAATAATAATTTTCTTGCAAAATTTTTCAGCAGAAATATAGAATTTATTGATGGATAAAACTAAGGTCATGGAATTATACCAATCTATCCTACATATACAACAAAGGACAGACTTTCTTAAAAAAGAATCTGAAGATATAAACTCTGGAGCAACCCAGATCTCAGAGACGTTCAACTCAAATATAAAAATACTGTTAAATATCACTACTGAGCATCATAAATATGCCATGAAACTAAAAAATCAAGTTGATGTTATTGCAGCACAACTAAAATATATACTATCTGAGACAGGTATACCAAAGAGCTCAGAAATGAGTTTTTCAAACCAATACAAAACAGGAACAACTGGAAGCAGCAGTGGACCCAAAGGTGACAACATACCAACTGATAATAAAGTAGATTCCATTTCAGTATCATCAACCAAAAAAGTTATGATACATGAAGATAAAAGAGATACCAGAACAATCAGCATCATAGACCAATAAGATAAAATCCTTTTAGATCCAAAAGAAAGAAAATATGTCGAAATAGTTAAAATTGCTTATAAAATGAAAATGAGTGATTCATATTCCATCTCTTTGAGAAATAATGTTTATCCTAGAATAACAGTCATGGAAGGAGGAGACCCTTCATTTACAAAAATTATGGCTGACTATGGATTCATGGATTTGATTTATCCAAGAAAAGATTTGATTGAAATTTCAAAGTTTGATGACATATTCATAAAAGAAGTATCCAGATTTGCCAAGGGACGAAAATTATATTTGAAATTCTATTCAATAAGTCCAAAAAATGATAGAGTTGTTTACTATCTAGTTGAAAACATAATCTCAATTGGATATATTGCAGCCAATTTCCAAATAGATGTTACAGAAAATAATAGAAAAGTTTCGATAGTGACAAAATCATGGATCAGACATAGAAGAGCACTTGGTATTAAAGCCATCTGCAACATTGCCAAAAATTTGTTTGATAAAAGATTCTCATGCTTGTACTAATATGAAAATTGGATGCTGGTATCTAATGGAGGATATGAAAAATTAGAAATTTTAAAGGACTATATTACAAAATTCGATATACATCAATTTCCAGGAAATCCTACCACTATAAAAGAATCATGCCAGTTAAGGGAGTGTCCCAACTGCATGTGAAGAAATAAAGGAAGATGACAATAATAGAGCACCTTTGACAAAGGTATATGGAGAACAATAATACGGCTGCATGTGAAGACATTGAAAAAAAAGAGCAATAATAGAAAAAAGATGCTCTTTGGATAAAAAGTTGAAGCAGCATGTGAAGATGTAGGTCCAAGGAGGAAAATAATAAAAAGGTAAGTGTGTCTTTGCTGATGTACTCAATGATATAATAGAGTCTCATAGACTTGTATAAATAGAGAGATTGTTATAGATAGAGACCATGTCATATTATCTTGAAATTTCGAGTTGTAAGTAATAGTTACTCTTAAAACCATTCCCAGTTTGAAAAACCAGTTTTTTTGGAAATCCTTTTGTATCAAATAGAAGTCATGTATAAATTTTGATAGAAATAAAAACTTCAATATTTTGATATGAATATGAGTTTCTAAATTTTTATTCCCATGGATTCTTGAAGGATCTGATAAAAAGTTTCATTCTTATTTTAACAAAAAGAAAGTTTTTCTTTAACAGAAGTCTAAAATTTTATTCTTTAGAAGTTGATACAGTGAGAACAAGTAGCTGAAATAATAACAATTCCGTGAAGGCAGGAGACCGTTGAAAGAAGCAGTTTACAGACTCAGAGCTTGAAGGTCACTCGATTTTAAGAATAAAAGTCCAAATCCAACTTAAAATAAAACTATTAAACTTTTGCTAAAATTAGGATGAATCTTGTTAAGATCTTAGAGAATCGTAGAGATTAATCGATAATTATTTTTGTATGAATAAATACCAGAATATACAATTGAAGATTAGATAATCTATTAGAAAAAATAAAGAATATTATTTTTCAATTAGAAAATATAAATTTACCATTTGAAGAGTATAATATTTTAATTAGAAAATATGAAATATATGTTACAGATTATTCTTATTTATTAGATTATAGAATAAATTTATATTCAAATATTCAAAATAGAAGATATAATGTTTAAAAGATTATGATATATATTAGAATATAGAAAGAATCATTTCTAATTAAACCTTTCAATTAAAAAAAGAATAATGATAGGCCAAATGAAAAAATCAACCGACATGGTCTTTCAATTCACTTCTTTCCAAGATTTGATCTTTCGCTACTCCCCTCCCTAACCCCAATTCCGATCCACCGCCGCGGCCACCACCACCACCTATCATGGTGACTTCGTCATCGGCATATCCCAGGTCACGGTTGTCGTCGATGAGGATTGGAATGCCATTTCTCTCTCCATTTTTTCACGCGACCACCCGTGTCTTTTACTCCAGCTGCCCACACAACCACCGTCCATACTACCTCTTCTTCTTCTCTATTTTCATTTTCTTTCTCCAAGATTTTCTCTATAAGCTGCAATTTTTGTAGAATCATATTTTTTGAGGGCATTTTATTAACTTTTTCAAAACAACAGAGAGAATAGAAAAGAGTAGAAGAATCTCAAATTAAGTACAAAAAATGGCTCCATAGATTTTCCAAAATGTGACAAAAGGCAAAAGAAGATGGTGGCGTAGCTTCAAGGTAGACCAATCTATGGGCTTTTGCTGTGTGTTAGCAGAATGGGGTTGGGTCCGTCCATTATCTTCTCCCCGTTTTTTTTTTTTTTTTTTTTTCCAATGGTGAATAATATATAATGGGTTTTTGATTGCGTGCGAATTTTCATACAAGAGGATAAAAATGGTGTTCTGGATTTTTGGCTATGGGTCATTTGTGTGGACCCCTTTATTTGAATACGATGAAAAAGTAATTGTCTACATTAAAGACTATAGAAGAGTCTTTGATATGGGTAAATTTCTGTTCCTTTGCCAAAATATGTTATGGGATTTTCAATTTCTCCAAATTTGTTAAATTACATGAGAAACCCTTGATTTTCTGTAAGTAGGAATTTGAGTTAAAGATTGAACATTACTTGTTAGAAGACTTAAAATCTATACATAATTTATGGGACGAACTTTGTTTATTCAAGGGTTCTTTAACTAAAAGGAGATAAGATTAAGGAATTGCAAATTGATGCAGTTACTTTTTTTTTATTTTTTATTTTTTATTTTGGGAGAAGGTTCATACTTTTTTCTTTTATTAGCCCGCATTGATGATAGAGATACTCCTCGGCAACCAAACTTGTACCTTGGAGCAATATGATGGAGTCATCTGTGTAAGTGAAACATGTTATTAATTTGCCATTCTAATACGATTCTAATCCCCTTTTTTTCCCAGTTAGACAAATTAGAAGTTCCTTGTATTAAAGTTTCCTTTTTGTATTTCTCTTTTTAGTGCCGTGCTGTACTGCCTATTGCGTGCAAGGAAGGTCCGAAAAGGAAAAGACAACGATGGTGGTATGCCTGGTGCATTATTTTGATAATCGAATCGCCTTTAGCAGGCATTTTCAATTATGCATTGATTTGGAGCTGATGTGTGTTTAAACATTTGTGTTGTATTATCTGGAACGAAGAGAATGTAAATATGACCAGAAGACTTCGAAAGACTTTTTGAAGGTCGATTATATTTTTGATATCATTTTTTCATTATTAGCCTATACTATTACCGATTTTTTGAGTACTGAAATTTATCCTCTTCAATGTAGAAAGGAGATTCTGAGCAACCCTTCTAAACTGGAATGATAGTGTAAGTAGTTCAATATTTTCTTCGTTATAGTACTTGTCTAACTCTTGCAAAATATAGATAAACATGTGTTGGCTATTTTGTTTGAGATTGCTCGAAAGATAGGTTTTTGGCATTGCAGGTTCATGTTAACTCCAGACAGAAATTTTGTACAAGTACTATTAAATTGTAGTACATGCAATGCAAGTTTGAGAGGAGATACTTGCCGAGATTTGTGCTAAGCTTTCAACTCCAAAACGTCTCAAGTAGCTTGTAGAACATTTCTTCCGATCCTAGAGGCAATGGTGTACTGTGTTGCTTTACGGTGGGGTGGGAAAAATATGCAGGGAATATGCAGGGGCTAAAATTATAGTTGTTGAGGATACATATTTTTTTAGTTCATTAATTAAGGGTTGCCTGTCATTTGAGTCTACGAGTTCTCATGTTGATATATCACTCATTACCACTTGATTCAATTCTTATATATTTTAGCAATTCAATTCTTATATATTTTAGCAATTCTTATAAATTTCATTGGTGCATGAATTATCGAATTTAGACATGAACATTTTACCCTTTTATACCCACATAACTCAATTTTACTGTTCTGAGATATGCATTTTGAGGCATTTGAACATGTTTTTGTTATCTATTTTCACTGACAACTTTTAGTTAATGGTTGCTATTATTAAATGGTCAAGCAATTAAGTTTTGTTTTTGATTCTTTTTTCCCATTTCTTGCATACCCTTTTTTCTACTAATTTCATATGTGCATAAATGGTCGAATTTAGACTTTAACATTTCATCTTTTTTCCCCCCCTCTATCCTATAGCTCATTTTAACTATTTTATGATACCTGCTCTGAAACATCTGAACATTTGTTGATTATCTATCTTCAGTTGAATATTATGTAATGGTTGCAGCTATCAGATGACCGAGCAAATACGTTAGGTTTTTAATCATTTTTCTATGTTTCTAGCACGCCATTCCTTCTATTGCTACATTAAAGTTTCTACTGGATTCTCTCCTCTCTTCATAGTTATTTTATTTCACAGCAGTTTTGTTCGCATTGTTTTTTGCGTCTATGATCTATCTGTGTTTTATTGTGCTATAAAAGGTACTACTAGATTTCTCTCCTCTCTTCATAGTTCTATTTATTCTCACGGCAGTTTTGTTGACATTGTTTTTTGCCTCTGTCTATCTGTGTTTTATTGTGCTATAAAATCTCAATGTGCTATGTTTTTTGAATTTGGTTTTTTAGTAAGTAATTTCAATCCTTGGTGTATTCATGTGCTTAAGCTTGATGAACTAATCATCACTACTAAAAGAAGAGTGTGTTGGTTTTGGCACTGTTTACATGGATGCGTGCCAAGTTACAGTTTGCCTTTTTTTTTTTGGTTCCATATTTTCATCCAATACGTCATCGTATTGTACTTGACTTTTCTTTTCTTTCAAGCCATTTCTCGTTACTCTCTCTGAAAATCTCTTTGATATGTTTCATCTCTCTTTCTTCTCTGTTGTTCTCCATTTCCCCATGCAACTACCGATGTGTCTTTCACTTTCCCTATATTAAACTTACGATTTTTGTGAAATGCTTAGCTTTTAAAATTTAGGGAATTTTTGGTTTTTTTGGTGTGTGTGTGTGAGTTAATGATTTTGAGGTTCAGGTAATTGGTTCGACTTAGACTACGGAGACATCTTTTCATCAACGAATGATTCACCGAAAGTGGAGGACATGGTAAATGATGCTGTGGCGAAGGAATCTGCGACGGATGAGGTTTGATCTGTTGATCTAGCCATCGATTATGGTGCAAAGCAATTGGATGTGAAGATATCGCCAAAGGCAGCGGTGGAAGGTGAGCCTTTGAGTTCTCCGATAACTATAGGTATGATTTCTATATCTACACGTGCTTTATCATGGTTTTTTTTTTTTTTCAATATTCTTTAGTGGCTCCCTTCTGGAAATATGTTTGGGTTAGTATATTCAGTTCTGGGTTTTTATTAATCTTCGGTGAATTGTATAGTGGACTTGATGCTATTCTTTGATGCTTTTAAGATTATTCATATGTTGATAGCTATACTAGCACCATTGGAGTAGATTTTGTGAGTTTTATTCTCATAATCCTTTATATATGTTGATGAGATTACAAAATAGTTTAGTTATTTTCAGGTCTTTGGCTATGTTTTTATTGAGGTCTAATGTTATTATCCATAATTACTGCAAAAAATTAGGACTGTGGAGCTGGATAGGAAGACAATTAAGCTGCAAAATGTGAGTTCATTTGACTTGATGACTACTCTATAGTTGTGAACATGAGTTAATTTGACCTAATGACTACTTTATAGTTGTGAAATTATAAAAACATCTATATGAATATTATTTTAGCTGTATGTACTATTCCTTTACGATGGTTTTGCTACATGTAAGCTGTGCTTCAAGCAAATAACTTTCGAAAGGGAAAAAAATGTTTTGGTTTGAGGTTGTGAGGATAGTTAGGACTCAATATTTTTCATATTTTTAGTCTAGATTTAATTGATTGAGTTACAATTGACATTTCTTGCTATCGATATGGAATGATTGGTTATTAGTCTTCTTCTTCTTCCTCTTTTTTTTTTTTTTTTTGGTATGTTTATCACTCTTAGTTTTGTCTTTGAGATGAAGCAAACAGGGATGGGCATTTGTCGACAATCGTAAAGATTTATTGCTGAGATGAACGTTGTAATAAACGTCCTGTTAACTTTTGCCATAATAGCTGCATTTGGTATGAATTTCCCTGAGCTATGAAGGCCCTTTGCTCAAATATATCAGATCCAATGTATTGATGTACATAAAATATTCATCAGTTCTCTACTTTTTGCTTCTATTGTGGAGAAGCGCAAGATTGAAAGTGGTTTATAAGAATTTTTTTATTTCTAATTCTTGTTTCATAAAATTGTACAGGAGGTATTTGCGCAACTTACTTGCAAATGTGAAAGACACATTGGCACCCAATCTGAGGAATGGTCCAGGTACTCTGAATTCTTCCTGAAGTTTCTGGGTTTCTAGGAATCATGTGTTTTGAAATTTCTATAAACATTTCAAGAATTGTTAGATTGAAATGGTGGCTGTACTTGTTAATATGTAATGCTTGTTTCTTGTAATCCTTGTAATATTTTTGTTATCATGGTGAAGGTATGTATTTATTTAGAACTTAAATTTTTTATTGAAGAGAATATTTTTTAAAAGCCAACCACATGCATATTTGTGTTATATCTTTGTTTTTTTGATGCCTTTGTGTGGTTCTTTTACTTGCTAGCATTTATATGCCTTATTTAGTTGATCTTGGACGTTCTTATATGTCCGCTGCAAGTGTCATGTTCTAACGGTTTCTAACATTGCCACAGGAATTTTTGGAAGAAAAACAATATAATGCTGAAGAAATCGAGAAACTCATTGTAGAAAAGTGTTAGTTTGAAGCTATTTTGCCAATTCTCCCTTTTCCTTGGATGTGCTGAAAGCAGGTGCGCATTTTAAGTTATACCGTGTGATTTCCTGTTCAATTTAAACATATTGATATTTGAATGGCTTCAGAATATGTAACTTGTTATCCTTCTTATTTTCTGGTTTATATAACTTGGATGCTGGGAATTAGATTGTTTCAGCAACAATATCCTTTTTATTATTTTAATCAATGAGAATTTGGTGGTCTTTCCTTCAGATTGGGTGCTTTTAATCAGTTAGAAACATTTAAACACGTTCTTTAGGATCTCTAGCGAAGGAGTTGTTGCTTGAAAGAATTTAAGCTTTCTGATCATTTGGTCGTCAATACGACAATGGAGGCATGTGGAGATCTACCAATAGGAGAGAGGAGTCATTGTCTGCCTTTCGTTATATGGAAATGCGTGTATGTGCATTGCATATCTTTTCATTTGCTGATTAAATATCTATCTGTACACATACCTTTCTTTGTTGTACATTATATGTTTTTGCTTTTGTTCATTTTGTGAAAAATTATACATTATTATATTTTTATATCTTCGTTATTACATAGTCAACTATACTGTATCACGTGCCTTGCACATGCGTCTTACTACTAAATATAAAAGAGGGAGTTTTAGTTACTGTTCACAAGCCGAATGGTCATACAAACCAAGCTTTGTTCGAGTCAGCTGGTTAGCCAAGTCGTGGGAGTGGGTGGGTGTAAAAAGATCTTCCGCTGGATTGTCTAGAACATTCGTTTCTTCTTATTTCTCTCTGGGGTTTTCTATGTTCTCTCTTGGGTATCTCATCTGGCTTCTTTTTCCTTTGTTGATATTTATGATTTAGTAAATGGAGATGATAATAATAATAATTTGTGTTTACGTTGTTTCTCTAGATCTATGATTGTTAATTACAGAACTTTTAGTGACAAGAACACTCCAATTTTTTGCCAATCGAAAAAGAAGATGATGATTTTGACCTACCCACAAAAGGCTCAGGCGTGGGCCGAAGGTTGATGAGAAAAAGATGAAGCCCAAGAACAATACCTAAAGCCATGTCGATGATGAGATTGAGGATTTCTCTCAGGAGGAGGATAGGCCCTTTGGTATCAAAAATTCAATTTTTGTCTTTGTTTAAGCTTTTATTTTTTGTCGAATATATGGAAATGTGGAAAATGATATGATTTTGCAATTCTCAAGTATTTTCTATTTTTGTTGTTTTATATGATATTTTAGGTTGCTTAGTTCAACAATTAGGATCTCTGTGAAGGGGAAATAATTTTTTTTTATTTCATTTGGCTAGGAACTACAAGATTTGAAATGGGATGTGTGAATAAATGTTAGTTTTAGTTTACCACTCGTCCATGTTATATTGAGATCACTTAACTGAAATAAATTTTTTTTGTCATTTGGTTAGGAACTATTAGATTTGAAATGGGCTATGTGAATAAATGTTAGTTTTAGTTTACATCTCCTCCGTGTTATAGTAAGATCACTTAATTAACTCTAATATACATGATCATCTTTAGTTCTATGCAAAAAACATTCCAATCTCATGACGCTCTTGCCTCTTCAACATGTGTTTTGTTCTTTTATATTCCAGGCAACTGCATCAAAATTTAGTGATAGTATGATTTTCATTGCAGTTGGCAATTGCTATTCTTAAAGGAGAACTTGAACTGCCACTGTCACTTTGAACAAGTACCATTTGCGTTTTGAAATACAGTAATACTGCCATTAGACACGGTTAGTGCAAAATTTGTCCTTGTGAGTGTTGATTGATATGCAGAAGACAATATAATGTTTGGGAGAACCTCAAAATATGCTTAGCACAAATAATGCTTTTAGCAATCTGATGTCCTTCATATTTTTCCGTCTTGATTATGTGCCAAAAGTGCTACTTTTATATATTGTTGTTAATGGCCAATGATTTTTCTGTACTCTCTCATGGAGCAAAGGGCATGGATTGCATTTTCATTTCTCTCCCTTCTTTTTTTTTTCCCCTTAAATTAATCTCAGAGGAGCTTGTTTACTTAGAAAGTGTTCTTAACAGATGAAGAAATTGGGAATTTTCTTTATACACGTCAGATAAATTGTGTGTGGAAATTAATCAACTCCAAGTTTGTGTGACTTTGTAATTATGGATGGTGGATATCATTATCTATTTTATTTGACCAAAATATATATGCACAAACCTGTTTTTTGAGTAAATGAAGGCTTGTGTAAAAGCTATTAATTCTAAAAAATCCTTCGAATGCTATTTTTCTTATTTCTAAATTTTGAGGTGAAACTGTGTTCCTTCGAGATCTGTTTCTTTCTTTCTTGATAAATGTTGATTTTGAGCAACTAAAGTTAGCATCTAAGATATTTTTCGATGATTATGTATATGTGAATTTGAAGCTTATTTGAATGCAACCGAACACTTCACAAACATCTCTTCAACCTGCAATGCAAACATAAAACATCAACAAATAGCTCACCAATTGGAAGAATGTTTACACATGAAGTTGATAGCCAGCAAACAAAAAGCTAGAGCAGAAGTAGTTACTTGAGAATTTCAAATATGCATTTTGATTCTTTTTGGATGCTTATGTCCACAATCTACCACACCTGACTCCCTAGAGCTCCATTTGTCGTACTGGCTTTTGTTTATTGTACGTATAAGCATGTTAAACATATGTATCCAAATACAGTATGAAACAACTCTACTTTTTGCTTAGTATTACAATTAGCAATGAAAATACGTGTGAACACAATTTATAAATCCAATATAATCTTTATGCAACTCTACTTTTTGCTTAGTATTACCATTAGCAATGAAAATACGTGTGAACACAATTTATATAATCCAATATAATCTTTATGCAAATCAGGTTTTATTTTCACTGAAATCCCACGAAAAATAATATACAAAATCCAACACTATTACTTACAATACATCACCACTGCACGTGCATTCTCTAGTATTAGTTTAAAGACTAGGCTTTATGCGTGAATGATCAATATATGGATTTATTTCACTTTTTCTTAGATTTTCTATTTTTTATTATTTTTATTTTTATTATTATTTTTTTTGTTGAATTATTGGCTCTGTGGTTAACATGAATCTTGGAAATAATTTAGCAAAGATTTGTAGGTCTCAAAAGGATACGTGGTTCAACTGAGAAGCGGAGACAACCCGGTCAGTTGGTAGAGAAGCTCTTGGAACAGATTGTGACTTTAGAGGGCTCGGAAATTTCAAACCTATTTAGCCAGACTCCTATACTTTATCTGGCTACAAAAATTGGGAATGTTGAGTTTTTGACTCTGCCTATCGGCTTATATCCTGATATTATATGGAGAGGAGTCTTAAATTATAAATCCATATTTCATCTTGCTGTTGTTCACCAACAAGAGAGAGTCTTTAGCCTCATCTACGACATAGGAACTATTAAAGATTTAATATTTTTGAAAACAGATCATAATTCTGAACACAACATTTTGCACTTGACTGCGAAATTAGCACGTTCAGACAGACTCAATAGTGTATCTGGAGTAGCTTTTCAAGTTGTGGTTTAAGGTGAGAAATTAACAAGACTGCCAAATCCCCTTTCCTTTTTCCCCTCAAAGAGAAGAGGAACACATTATAACGTGACGGTGAATTAACTACAATAATTTTTTGTTGGATTATAATTGGGAAAAAAATCATATATACCCATTAGATATAAAAGATTTCATAATATGCTATTTTTGATTTATATTTATAACTAGTTTCTGGCCATGCAATGCATGGCTTGAATTTTCTTGAAGGTGATATTAGTGTGTTGACTTTTTTGAGTATTGAGTATTCACGAGAGAGAATTATATTGAATGAATTTTTGGGAAGCGAAGAAAGTATTTAATTGATTTTTTTCGACAAATAGACAAAAAATAATAAATTTTAAAAGAGAAGAGTAGCTCATTAAAGTTCTTCACTCTCTTTTTCCCTCTCATGAGAAACACAAAAAGGAGCTTTCTTAAAGAGGTAAATATATCAAAGCAATCTTTCTAAAAAAGAGAGAACAAAAATGAAAATGACGTGAAGTATTTGTATTCTATTCATCATCAACCATAAAATATGAACTATAAAGCAGACATTTTTAACACTATATTTTTATTTTCACATATGAGAAATAGGGAAGAAGGGAAAATAAACAATTGAGCATTTGCAATAGGAGTGTAAAAGAAGTGACAATTGAAGGAATAACTGAACAGTTTGCAATTGGTAATAAAGAGCAGAAAATTGTGAAAATATGTAGTAAATTAAGCCAGGCTCTAATAAATAGTACCAAACAACTTCCTAAGTTTACATTAATCATTGCTAAATAATCTTAGCGTTTGTTTTTCATTGATTAGGCGTATTTCTCGATTCTGGTACATCATTTTCAACATCCGGGATATGATGAGATTCATGTCGAAGAACAGGCGCTTGCGTACATGGAATGCTTGGATTGTCGATGTTCGAAAAAATTGACATAACTTTCACATACGGTGTTCGTTTTGGGCCCATAACCCCATTTCGGAAAGCTCGCGATGATTTTGAATGCACCACTTCGCCATGATGTATGATGAATTTTTGCAGTTTGAATTTGTTTACTAAGTCAAAACAGCATTTACAGTTTCTTGGTTTGTTATTTTCAATATTTGTTATTTTCGTTTTGTAGCCCAGCCCATTAAAGGACTGCTAGCCCAGTAGGTTATTTGTTCTTTTCGTATTTAAGGCTTGGAAAATGCTTCCTAGATTTTCTTTGGTTGTTCTTGAAATATGAAAAGTGCTGGTTTCTTGAGTTCAATCTGTTTGTGTTACTGTTATTTCATAGTTGTAGATTCGATTTACATCATTTGGAATCAGAGCATGGTTCGTGGTAGAGGACGTACTGGTCGTGGTGGCCATGTTGACGAGGTTATAGATCTGTGTAACCAAGTTGCGGCGTTGATAGTTCGATTTGATCAATTTATGACGTGGGTAGCGAATGTGGTGTAGAACGGAACACCTCATGCTCCCCAACGTCGTGTCCCAACAAGTGATGAGGAAGGTGGATATGAATCAGGTGAGAGGTCTGATGAGGAAAACTTATCGGAGGCACGTAGCGATCGCGTTCATGAGCCTCGTATGCCACAGCAGGACGCGTTCTAGCGTTGAGAATCTGGAATCAAGGTTGATATACCTGAGTTTCACGGTGGGATCGAGGTGGATGAATTCCTCGATTGGCTAGCAGCAGTAGAGGAGATTTTAGATTACAAAGAAGTGCTTGACAAAAAGAGGGTACCTTTGGTGACGACCCGTTTACGCGGTTGACTAAAGCAGAATCGGATCCGTTAGGATAAGGCAAAATCCAGTCATGGGAAAAAAATGAAGAAACAGTTGAAGGCAGCGTTTCTTCCCTTTAGTTATGCCAGGACCTTGTATCAACGCTTACAGAATTTAAGGCAAGGCAGTTGTTCTGTAGATGCATATTCTACAGAGCATTACCAATTAATAGCGTAAAATGATGTGGGAGAATCAGAAGACCAGTTGGTAGCACGCTACATTGGTGGACTATGGTTTAATTTGCAGGATGTTTTTAATATGTTTTCGTCGGTGTCTGTTTCAGAGGCTCATCAGCGTGCACTTCAAGCTGAAAATCAACAACTACACCGTTCCACAGTTGGCATTTTCTGGTGGTCCATCTAGAGGTGGGGGTCGACCATTTGCCCCAAATCCCACATTTGGTCCGTCCCAATCCTCTACATCTAGGGGTCAGGGCATTGATCGAAACACTCGGCCAGCGGCCCCTCCAACTTCTAGTTCGGGTGGCTGGGCTCCTTCTGGTGGACGAGGGAGTGGTAGTTAGTGCTTTGGGTGTGGTAGTTTTGGTCATTTGAGAAAGGAAGGACAGTTACGCCCAGGCTTGTTCGTCGGAGCAACACAAGTCGATGTTGTTCATGTGGTGAATGAAGAAGAAGAGACCGAAGTTGTGCATACAGGTGACACGGTGCCCTTTTAGTGGTACGGCGGGCGTGCCTTACGCATAAGGGTTCGTCCGAGGACCTGCAGCGAAACAACATTTTTCTGTCCCCATGTATCGTTAGAGGACAGGTTTGCAGGTTCATCATTGATTCGGGCAGTTGTGAAAATGTGATTTCTGAAGCCGCTTTGTAGAAGCTACAGTTAAACACCGAACCTCACCCTGCTACTTATAACTTGGCATGGTTGAGACAAGGTAATGAAATTTGTGTTACTAGACGTGTGTTGGTATCTTTTTCTATTGGCAGTGTGTATCGTGATAGTGTTTGGTGTGATGTGATGCCTATGGACGCGTGTCATCTATTGTTGGGTTGTCTTTGGCAGTTTGATAGGGATGTGTATCATGAAGGACGTCGGAATGCGTACATGTTCAACTTTTCGGGTAAAAAGATTGTACTACTATCCTCTAAGGATACTCATTGTATGTTTTCGGCAAGGGACAATAGTAATCTACTTTCTAGATCCTTGTTTGTACATGAGATGTTGGCAGAAGATATTGTATTGGTGTTAGTGAGAACTGGGGCGACGGGAGTGTCGACAATTCCTATAGCAACCGAGGGGGTTGGTCTTCACCCCAAAGCTGCCGCCTTCGTGTCTAAATTCCACGATGTGTTCCCAGATGACCTTCCGCAAGATCTTCCACCTTTGCAGGATATACAACATCAGATTGATTTAGTACCAGGCGCGTCGTTGCCTAACCATCCACATTATCGAATGAGCCCAGCAGAACATGAAGAGTTAAGGAAACAAGTAGAGAAGTTGGTGCAGAGGGGTTACATAAGAGAAAGCCTTAGCCCATATGCAGTCCCCGCTCTTCTAGTGCCAAAAAAGATGGGAGTTGTCGGATGTGTGCAGACAGCAGAGCCATCAACAAAATAACAGTTCGTTACCACTTTTCGATACCGAGATTAGATGACTTACTTGATCAATTGGCTGGAGCAACAGTATTTACCAAGCTGGACTTGAAAAGTGGTTACCATCAGATCAGAGTCCGCCCTGGTGATGAGTAGAAGACAACGTTTAAGATACTGGAGGGATTATTTGAGTAGCTAGTTATGCCCTTCGGATTATCCAATGCATCGAGCACGTTCATGTGGGTGATAAACCAAGCACTTTGACCGTTTATCGGTAAGTGTGTTGTTGTATACTTTGATGACATATTAGTGTGCAGTGGGTCGGAGGAGTCTCATGGTGAGCATCTAAGGGAAGTCCTTACTGTTCTGCGCAAGGAGAAACTCTTTGTGGCCGCAAAAATGTGTGTATTCTATACCGATAATATTTTGTTTTTGGGGTTTGTTGTGTCAGCTAGTGAGGTGAAAATGGATTCTGCTAAGGTTGATGCGATCCGGCAGTGGCCATGGCCACAATCAATTTCTGATGTGCGGAGTTTCCATGGCTTGGCGTTGTTTTATCGACGATTTATTCAGCACTTTAGTCGCATCATGTCTCACATTACTAATTGCATGAAGGAGAGTAAGTTTCAGTGGACTCCTGAGGGGAAGAAGGCGTTTGTAATTTAGCCCCGATACTTACGTTGCCTGATTTCACAAAGCCTTTCGCATTACATTGTGATGCCTCCAAACCGGCATCGGAGCTGTCCTTAGTCAGGAAGGAAAATCACTAGCTTATTTCAGTCAGAAATTAGCAGGGGCTCGTAGGAGATATAACACTTATGATGCAGAACTTTATGCCGTTGTTCATGCCATTCGACATTATCTATTTAAGCGAGAATTTGTCATATACAGTGATATGAAGCCCTCAAACATTTGTCCAGTCAAGAGTCTGTGTCTGCCCATCGTACATCATGGGTTGCCTTCTTACAACAGTTCAACTTTGTCATTAAGCATCAGGCTGGTTCTTCTAATCGTGTGGCAGACACACTCAGTCGGCGGCATGGGCTATTAGCACGTCTATAGGTGGCGGTTACCGAGTTTGACACCTTTGCCTCTCTTTATGCTGATGATCCTTATTTTGGCCCCATTTTCCACAGTTTATTGCAGGGATCCCATTCCCCTTTCTGTCAGAGGATGGTTGTGTTTCGAGGTGTTCAGTTGTGTATACCAGATTGTAGTCCTCATCGAAAATTGATTGAGGAGCTTCACGACGAGGGTCATGTTGGGCGAGATCGCATTTTGGCTCTAGTTAGTGCTTTATTTTTCTGGCCTACTATGTGTTGTGAAGTGGAGAAGTTTGTTTCCCGGTACAGGGTGTGCCACGTGGCAAAAGGAAAAGCCACGAATGCTGGCCTTTATCAACCATTATCAGTGCCTTCAGCTCCGTGGACTGATATTAGCATGGATTTTATCCTGGGTTTATTGCGCACACAGCGTGGTAATGACTCTATCTTTG